AATATACTCTACATATTCACACGTACATAGATATGTGTGACTGTTGTTGCTGTCATGTCATGTGCCCGGATTTTACGCCTTCGACGCTCAACAGTCTTATTACGGTTTTTTGTTTCTTTTCGCATTTTAGTCTAAAAGAGAAAAGAAACATGAATCAGATGCCAAATTTCGATCGAATGTGGGTAGAAACGAAAAAACGTTAAATCCAGTTAACTTAATGCAGTCGTACTTATTTGCTTTTGTTTAGCTGAAATAATAAATGAGAAGAAATGAATATTCAAAATATTTTTATTAGCCAAAATCTTGCATTACTTTTTTTTCGTATTAACAAAAAAATATAGATGTTCATTTGCTTAAAAAATTGGATTTTTTGTGGAATGTTTTTTATAACAGTTGGGCAAATACTTATTGTTGTTAAAATGTATAAAAATAAGAACAGGGCCATTCTGCTTTAAGGTAACATTAAATATATTTTCATTTTGAAAAGTATTTTAAAATATCTGTTTAATGTTTTAACATATGGGTCTTTCCATGAAAATGTAAACTTTAAATTTCGTATTCAGATGTCGGAAAAAGGTTTTGAAAACGCGAAACGGTGGAGAGAAGAACTTAAAAAATTAAATTTAAAATTTAATTTAGTATGTGGTACTAGTAAAAATATTGTATGGGGAAAAATCTGTCGCGTTCGTTGTTATGTATTTTTTTTTTAATAAAAACTAACCAGAGATAATTTCTATTATAAAAATGGAAGGATTGTGAAGGTACATTATTTAGCCTAGTTTAGTAATTTTTAAAGAAAAGAAAACCTTCCATGATTCGCAGACTTTCGCAAATATGTATATGTGCCTTGAAACCACTTCTTTTTTTGTCGCATACGTTATCACTTTGTTTTGAATGGATGCTTTGAATGCTTATATTTTTCAATCTTGCAATCTTGTTTTTCAGTTACTTAAATTTTTGAGAGATTTATGTTACTCCAAAGGCGTACAAATGTCGCGTACGGCTGCATGGAATCCCCCATATGATTATTCCCAATACTGGAGCAAGCGATATATTAGCATAAAAACCGTTTTGCTCTGTCCGCGCCTCCAATTTTGGACTTAAAAGTATCATTGCTGGTTGGCTAAACATCAACCTATTTTTATGTAATCGTGTAGCGGTTAGTTATTGTGGATTTTCTAAATGAAGATCTATCAAAGCGCTCAAAAATACTGGTATAATAGTTCATTCGTTACTAGCAAAAAGAATTTTGCTTTCAAAAACCAATGACCTTCTGCTTTAATATTCGTAAAATGTATTATTTTTTTTTATTTTTAAATCACCGCTTAAGGTAAAACTCTACAAGAACAGCAACAACAAAAAAAGACCAAAAATAACCAAAAAGTATTTACTGCTATTTATGGTGGTTTGTCATCAAATTCTAAGCCTAATTTAATGAAAATTTTATGCAAATATATCAGCATGAATACTAATAGATTTTTTATGAATGCTCGAATAATCAAATCTTTTAAAGCAAGAATAATTTTAGCAGTTTCATTGATTTCCGGTTATTTTATTTTAGAGTTATAGTAATAAGTGCTAAGTTTTTTTGTCAATATATATGTAATATAATACGAGTAACTAGAATGACGGTTAATACATTAACGTATGCCGAAAACTATTCTTTTCGCTTTAAGTGTTTAATTGGATACAGCTTCCCCCAAAGGTCACCGGCATTTACGACCATCACTAATTTAGTGAACGTAAACGCATGATAGACGCATCTAGTTTATATAAAGCCGATTGATCACATTAACCTTCAAATTAATTTTATGAATATGACTAAACGATACAAAAATTATTACCCATAAATGGTGTTCACATGAGAAGATTTTACAGGCAATTTTAGAGGCGTTTACTTGAATCAAAAGTTGGCTGCCACCCGGCTGCATTGGAAGCGATTAGTTGAAAGGCCATTCACTCCAGGCGATTGTTGCTTTCAACAAAAGTTTCCTGTAAAAACGCCTCATGCAAACATCGTATTAGTTTTTTGATCTGGTGAATGAAGCTAAGAAATACAAATAAAGAATTCTCGGAAATTTAAGCAGCTACCATGGATGGCCGAACAAATACCAATCGGATGAATTTCAGAATTCTCCCGAATAATTGGTGATATCATCGAGTTTGAGTATTTACATACAAAAAAAAATTATCATATTCGCGAAAAAAATGGAAAAAATAGAGTAAAACTGCGTACTTAGTTTTTATTTTTGGCGTAAGGATTTTTCTTAAAAGGACTTCGAAGTATCGAAAATATTTTTAATTCAAAAAATTTGTTAAATTTTTAAAGTCCTTTTAACAAAAATCGTGACGTCAAAGTGAAAAACTAAAAACGCAGTTTATCTATATTTAGCCCATAGTTTCGTGTATATATTAATCAAATAAAACACCTTTTTGAGGTTGAATTTTCGAGTGACGAAAGCTGAACTAGAAACACAAAATTTATGATATCAATTTCGTGTCGAAAATTATACGCATTCTTTTAACCGCCCTGGAAACTGACGCAAAATAGTTTTATTCATGCGAATCGTTACTAAAGTTCTAATTTTTTATGTTGTGTTTCTAAGAGTAGACAGAACTTCGTAACGTTCCGAATAATAACTCTATTTTGCGTCAGTTTCTAGGGCAGTTAAAAAATGCGCATAATTTTCGTCACGAAATTGAAATCATAAATTTTGTGTGTCTAGTTCAGCTTTCGTCACTCGAAAATTTTACCTCAAAGAGGTGTTTTATTTGATATCAATTGTTTTGGGATAGCAAATCTAAAATCAACGAAAATCTAAACCCCTATCTAAATCTAAATGATTTATTCAAATATTTAACTTTGAATTCAATTCCATTGAAACATATAAGTTTTTTAAAGAAGTTTCACTTCTATCATCAGTACGATATACTTGCATTCACACTGAATCCGTACATATATGTATGCTTATGTATGTACAAGAAATCAAAGAAACCAGCAAAAGTAAAACGATTTCTTATTTATTTAATTACGTATCGCGTGCAGGGAAGTCAACTCGCGGGATTTGCAGGGAATTTCAGTTTTTGGTGGCATCGGCGAATGGACAGGTTTTTACAGAAAATTGGGTATGTTACGTTTATAACTTAAAGTAACCAAATTAGACGAATATGTTAATTTTTAACCATTCGACCCTTTTTGCTTCAATTTGAATCGTAATATCTCCACAGCAAGAGTTTTCCCAGATATAAGCTATATACCAAATGAATGCTAAGGTTTGGGGCTAAGCTTGAGGAAACCTAGAATGAAATCGACTGATCAGTTTTTGGGAAAATTCTCGAAATCAATATTTTCAGCAGCCCGATTTTTAGTTTTTAGGCGATAACGTTATGACATATTTATATTTCATAAATGAAAAAGAAAGCTTGTTTTAACGCCCTTCTACTGCTTTCCACACGAATGGTATGGAATGAGCAGTGCGATCTCAGTGGTAGTTTAAAAAACTACCTTTTTTCGAATTTCAGGCACCAGCCACGCCCACAAAGGCATACGAATCGAAACATCCTGGAACAAAACCTTCCTAGTTTTTCATGTAAACTAGTGTAATTATGATATGTTGTATTATAATTTTATAAAATTCATTAAAAAAAGATTAATACCAATGAAGATATTCAAAGTTTACATACATACATATGTATTTACATGCGTGCTATAAAAATAACAAAGAAAATATATATATTTTTGAATTATTAATCCAATGTCTAAACTTGTATACATACATACGTACATATGTAGGTATGTTTTGTGAAAATATGTCCTGCATTTTCAATTCATATTTATGGTCACCGTAGGTATACCGCTAGCGGGACACTCAACTCTGTAGATAAACACTTTCAAACTAAGCGTTTTGAAGAAGAAATATTGTTTTGTTTCAAACATTCATGTAAAATACATATGTATGTGTGTATGTATCTAATATGTAGAACTGCAAACGAATTTTATCAGCTTTTGATAATACATATTTCAATACTAGTTTCGATCTGTGTGTTTGGTAGAACCGCAACCGGTTAAAAAACACTCCAAGGCACCGTTTTTTTTAGATATGGTATGCAATTTTTAATCAATTTTAATTGTTCGCATGTCTCAAAAAGCCACTAATACATACATACATAATGTTTGAACAAGTTGTGGAAATTAATTTTCAGTTTATGTTGATCACATATGTGCATAAATTAATTGCTTATCTCATAGTTCCAAAAGAGCAGCAGCACTACTGGATTTCGAACGTCACTCCCAAAAAGAATTTGACTGGTCAAAACTAGAAAAACTTGCAAAAAATAAAAAATATTTTAAAGTGAAAGGTACAAATAGTAAACAAAAAAAAAACTGCGGCATTGATAGAGTAATCTTGCCTTAGTAAGTGAAGGAACATCCAAGAGTTGTTAAGATTAATTACAGACTAATAAAAGAATCAGTTAAATTGTGATCGATAAGCTTTTGTGACAAACGCATCGAAACCTATAAAAGCTTACTTCAATTTTATATGCTAATTGCTTCTTCTTCATATAAATACTATAACGTTGTGACGTTATAAATAAGATTAATAGAGTTAACAATAGAAAGTTAACAAATATGCCAGTCAATTATGCGAGCGAAAAAGTCAAATGAGAAGCCTTCAAGCCAGTGCTGGCAGCGGCAGTGATTTAAAAGTTCATCTTCCGAGCAGAGTTCAACAATAAATATGGCGTGAAAATGAATGAATCTTCTTTTAAAAAAAAAATTCCACTAATCTGTATGTGAGTATGTATGTATGTGTGTACCTTTTAATTATTCGACCTCCAAACGCCATTAGAGAATACCAAACTGCTGACTTTGAAGCTCACCAATAACCCACCGCAATAAAGTGAACGGATTAATTCGTTAATGTTACTAATTTGCAAATTTTCGAGAAAAAGTCACACGCTCGTTTTTTGTTGTGTATTTTTATTTTTTTTCATTTTTATTTTGTATTTGTCGGTATGTAAATAATATGGCAAGCATGTATTTTGTTTTTAATTTTAACCACATGTAAAGCTAAATACATTCGCGCAAAATGAGAGTGATACAAAACAGACAGAAAAACAAATGATTTTTTTTTGTTTTAACAAAAGAGTTCATAAAAAAAATAAAAAATTTAATGGCCTAAAAATAAAAATTTAATTTAATTATCATATCATACGAGTTTACTGAATAAAAAAACGCTGACTTGCTCAATGCAATGTGCGCATGTGTAGAAGAATTTCATTTCGGCTTCTGCTGCCGCATCACCTTTTCGATGGAACTTATCGACAAATCGCGTTAGAAACATATAATCATCAGTTACTTATAAATAATTATCGAAATAGCAAATTAGCGCTCTAAGGAGAAGACCTTAAACTAAAATTGGTGGCTGGTGAGTGGTGATGACCGTTGGCTGTTGGGGCGTTGCGTTCAAGCATTGATCAAACCGCCGAGTTGTTGTTTTCATATGACATTAACCACATCTAAAGTAAACAAAATGAAAGAGCCTCTCTTCGCCGCGCACGCGTTCCCTCCACCAGCACAGCACATCCAACATTACCCATTCCCCTTACTCGTTCACTGTCGTTCGTTTTCATCGCCGCTTGCGCTGTGGATACACCGTACCGTAAGAGGTCACGCCATTCGCTAGCTCATTGAAGGAAGCGCCCTCTTGCAGCGGCAGCGGTTCGACCTTGATCGGCGCTATATTAACCGGCAGCGGCAATTTCAAATTGACGGAAGCATCCGATGTGTCAATGGCGCCTTCAGGTGCTATATCATTGCCAGCAGCCACAGCTTCCACTAGGGACGAAGGCAGCGGTACTGCAGCGGGCGCGGGTAGCGCGCGTGCAGAGGAAACGGATGATGCTACATTGCTGCCCCTGCTGCTGCCGCCGCCGTATGTGTAACCTTGATTGGTCAAGGCCGATGTGAATGCGACATTCTCCAATGCTGGCGCAGCAAATTTCTGCGTTACTGAGGCTGGCAAATGCTGTGAGTTGTGATAATACGAAGTTGCTGGCTGTGAGGATTGTGTGCGATATGTTTGTTGTTGTTGTTGTTGTTGATGGTACTGTTGCCGCGTCTGCTGCTGTACATAACTTTGATGCGTTTGCGCATAGCTGATGTAGTTTGGTTGATATGGCTGTTGATGCCGCTGTTGATGTTGCGAATGTTGGGGAAAGGTGAGCTGATGACGCGGCGTCGGATAGTGGTAGTAACGTAAGGGTGCATTTTGCGAGTAGTGTGGCAACTGTGCGGCATTCGCGGCGAGTAGGAATGTGAGCGCGGCACAGAAGCGCATTGGTAGTTGCTGAAAAGAGAATGTAGGTTAGTGAGAAATTATCAAATAATTGTAATGCATTTTTTTTTTTATAATTACAGGGGGTCTTAAAAGTTCGGTAACAAATTTTTGTGATGTTTGCTTGTGCGGAAGATAATAATACTTATCTCAAGCAAATTCTTGTGAATGATAAGTGGGCTAATGGAGGACGCCCTTGGCGGCAACTCTAAGAGGGCCTCTCCAAAATAGAACAAAATAACAGTCCTGGCAATCGAAATACCTTAGCAACCTACTAGGCTCCAAATTAAATTGGTCAAGCACTTACAAAAATACTTCAGGGAAATAACGAAAACTGTCGCCATACAACTCCTATGATACCCTTGGGTGTGCTTAAGTTGAGCGATATTATGGCCCGATTCGGAAATTTGTCTTTCATTTATTTAATGTTTAATATTCTATGTTAATTCTAGCACATTGTGTAACCAACAGCAAAGGGGCCATTCCATACAATATTTACGCCTCAATGTTTTTTTTTGGTTGAAATATATTTTTTTACATTCTTTATCGAAAAAAAGAAGACACCAATTTTTTATTTCGTCATGATCTTTGAAAATCTCGAAAAAAAATTTCGAAATTTTGAACTCATGCAGAAGTATCTTTTCAATCGTTTGTAGTAAATAAACTATTTGTCGGAAAAAATCAGTTAAGGTATCGGCTTTCCATGATAGTGTGAGATTAATTAAAATAAAAAACTAAAATGTTCATTAAAAAATTGATTTTTTTTTTATTTACTATACCAAGTTCGATTTTCATTTTTTTCAGCCTAAATAGTTGTCAAAATTTATGGCGTACGCTGTAAAAATTTGAGAATGGAAACACCAAAACTGTAGAAGTTTTTTCATACCTGCGTACATAAAATTTATAATATTTTTTTTATTTGAATATATCTCCCACTCTCATGGCAACCCGAGGTTATTACGCATATTTCGATATCTTGATTGATTTTCTCCGGCAAATAGTTTATTAACTGCAAACAATTGGAAAAACATACATATCCGTGAGTTCAAAATTTCGGGAATTTTTTTTTCGAGATTTTCGAATATCATGACGAAATATAAAAATTGGTGTCTTCTTTTTCCAATAAAGAATGTTAAAAAAATATATATTTCACCCAACAAAAAATATTGAGGTGTTAATATTGTATGGTAATGAATGTATGTATGGTAATATAAATCCGCATAAAAAACTTTGTGCAAAAATTATAAAAATTCAACAAACCTCATGTTGAAATTATACCAGGTGTAGTAATCAAAGCGAGAAATAGATAGATAGAAATAGAAAATTTTCCTTTAAAAATTTAAATAAGATAGCCGAATGTCTGGAAAGTAAAGCGAGAAAGCTGTTTATAATTTCACCACGAACAAAAACACCTGGAAGTTTCGAACTTTTTGTTCAGAATATTTTCGCATTTTCTTCCATATGAAAAAATTTTCGAGCATTCTTTATATGAAAGAAAATTCACAACACCGTTAGGAAAAAAAATTTGCATTATTTTTATATCACCAAAACACCACACACACAGTAAGGCTTACATATATACTCTCGGTAAGGGAAGATAGTGTAGAGGGTTAAACTCCTACCTATCCAGACTTGGGGCTTTATTAGAAGGCTACCGATTAGAGAAGAGCGGGACTGAGTCCTAATAGTGGTTGGTGTGGAGTAAGGAACCGGCGCACAGTGTTTCGACTATATTGAGGCAGGTACAAAAACGTCATGGTGGCATTTGATAAAAATTGGTTGGGCTTAGAGCGGGGAAGTTACAAATCATAAATACAAATACGAACGGTACATTTCCCTAAAGAAATATGGATCGGCGCGTTACCGACTAATAAGTTTAGTTGCTTTTGGCGCTTAACCCATTAAAGCAAGTGTTTCTTTTCCAAATGTAATCAAGTTTATATTAAGTATCGTAGAATACAGGTGGAGGTATTTATCATTTATTTGGTATTTTCCTATTTGATTTATCAAAAAATTCACTGTGAAATATAGATGCCAAAGAGTATTAGTAAAAAAAGTCTGAGTACCGGTTCGTCAGGTCTTGAAACTAGACGTATGTGTTAGGTATTTTTTTTTGGTTTTGGAATACATAATTGGATCTCTTTGCCGACTTTGCAAATGCATATAATTTTCAATTTTCTTAATTTTTCATTTTCAGCCTCTTTTTGCATAATTTCGAGAAAAGAATTTTTCGAACAATGAAAAAATCTCACGAAATTTTGCGAGGAAAGGGAATATTTACACCTTTGTTATTTTAAAGTATAACCTTTGTATTCTGAGTGTGTGAAGCAGGAAACAAAAATTCACCAAAATTCCGTCACATTTAATGACTGTGCCCACATTTTTTGTGAGTTCTGGACTTTATGGTGATCCACTTTTCCCCATATTTTATATTTAGGGGTTTATAATAAAATATAGAGTACAAACTACATCGAAATCGGATGAAATTTAATAGGGGTCTTCCCTTAAATTCGTAAAAGCCTCGTGCACCTCGCAAAGCTTGTAAATTTACGAGCCTCGTAAAAGAACTGTTAAAATTTGTTCAGTGTTTGTAAACGTATGATAAAATAATGAAAATAAATGAAAAAAATAATCGCGCAGATCGGAGGGTCTTTTCATCTACCAATCGACTGCAGAGTCTTTCCAGCTAAGATATATGTATGTTACAGAGGCTGCAGAGTAGAGTCGTATTATTTCAAGTCGGTGCATTTTAGTTAATATTTTTGAATATTTGTACTGAAAGAAATACATAAATATTTCGAATTGAGGCTACTTAAAACACAACATTCACGTCGTTTTATCATATTCAAATTTTTTTCTTTTCTGTTACGAACTCTATAAAATAGGTTTTGTACGATTTGCTGAACATTTCTGGGCATATTCAATTAAATAATAAGACACTTTTCCAGTTGATGAGATAGCAAAAGCTCCCACTGGCATTGTCACAGGTTCCTATGCTATTATGTATAACGCAGATTCTGTATTAACAAATATTCATGAGTTCTCTCAGCAAAAATGTGAAGATGAAAATGAAGAGGATATAATTAAATATTTTCGGGGTCGATGTCTGGGCCTGTTGTCAAAGCGATTCAAAAAACTTGTTCGGGATACTTGGATCTCCCCAATTTAATTAGGATAGATAGCAAGTGTTTCAGTCGGTTAATAACCGTAGTTAATGGGCGAGTGAGCGTTTGGAAGTTTTCATGAGCATCTTCTGAATGTAAAAGAATTTACATGACTTTAACTGCTTTATGAAAATGTCACTTCATAAAGCTCTTTAAACCTATTATCATTAGACTGTCTTCCGAAGTCAAACAATAAACTGCAAATTTTTATATAGATGCTACCTAAGGAGGAGAAATTATGCAACTAGACAAAGTTCTGTGTATGTGTATATGTATATCGCTGCTAACCGCATCGCTTGAGCATGGATAAACAAAGTCGAATATTTTATTTTAGTTTTGAAGCTAATTAAAGTTTTCAAATAAAGAAAAGCACAGCGTTTTCGCCGCAAAACTGCATAAGAGGATACCATTACTACTTTTATATTCAAGGGTCACTTTATGTTCCAATCCAGCACCTGCCACTGAACTAAGCACACCCTTTTATTTCTTATTATTTATTCGTTTTCTTTATGCAATAGACTAAAATTAATTGTGGCCGCTTCTTTTATTGATTTGTTTTATTTCAATAGGTTAACGGAACACTTAAAACAATTTCAAAGAGTTCAAATTAACTTTGTTGAATCAGCTATAAAGTGACGATATTATACCGCCAGACAAATAAAGCTTATTGTACAACGGCGGCTTGGCAGTATAGAAGAATTTAAAACCAGTTTTAATGAATTGAATTAAGCACATTTTGATATAAATTCCTTTTCAGAGTTTCTCGCTGAACTTAAAACTCGTTGTATTTTTTAAAGGACATTTTTAAATTTCAATAAAAAAATTTTTTATAAAAAAAAAATAAAAAAAAATAAAAATATGCAAATATTTTAAAAACAACTTATTTTTTTATATATAATTCTGTGTTTTTTTTTTTTTAGTTTCGCTTCATTAAGCCAAAGGCTATTGTTATAAAAATTCAAGAAAATTCAAGAAAATTCATGCACAGGAAGCACATTTTTGGTCGTTTTTTTGTATGTATGTATGCAGTTTGTTACCAAACTTTGTTTTTTTGTAATTTGTCACTCACATGATACCACATTTTATGTTGCTATTTTTCTGTTGTTCTACAGATGTCAAAAGTTTGCTAAGTTGTATGTGTGTTATAATATGAAGCTAACGGTGATTTACTTGTCATAAAAGTAGCAATTCAATTTATCATTTTTGCAATTATCGCACAATTCAACAGTTTCTTCACACTTCTTAGTTTTTTTTTTGATTTTTGCAAAGTGCACTTAAAAGTCTATTTGCTTTGAAGAAGAACTCTCAGCAAGTTTGTCGCTTAAGTCTTTTGTTTTCACAATGCAAAACACCGCGCTCGCGCGCACACACACACACACACACTTAGATACTCCCGATCAGCTGGTTACTCCTTTATTGACACTCAACACGCATTGCAACGCATCGCCGCGCGCATTCAATCGCCAAATCGATGGTCCGACTGTTCGTTGTAGCCAGCCAGCTTCAGCTATGTTTGCACTCGAATAACTTCTATATTTAATATTCGTTTTTGTTTCTTTTTATTTTTTTCCTATTTTCGTATTTCTGATTTCTGTTTACTGCAATCAAATACAGCTAAAACAGTCGCACGTTGTCACCTTGTTGAGCTTTTTTAACTGATTAAACTTTGTTCGCAAACTAAAGATGCTTTTTATAGGAATTTAACGCTTTGTCTCTTGTTGCTATACATATGTATTTCATTTCGTTTTAATAAATAATTTTTTCTGCCAGTTGATACGTTCATTCACATTGGTGTATTTCAATTTTGAATTTCGTTCACATTGCGTTCGCTTATTTATTACTTTTGTTTCACTTTTTATACAAATTTTGGGTTTTTTTTTGTTGTAATTTGCTTAATTTTTTTAAACCACTTCGGCCTGGTCAACTGGTTGTTGTTGCTGTTGTTGTGGTTTGTTTGTTGCTCACCTGCTTTTGCCTATTGTTCAGCGCCATCAGGTCACATGATTCGTTTTTCGTAGCGGTTGTTGTTGTGGTTGCTGTTGTGGCTGTTGTTGTCGCGGTTGCTGTTGGCATGCTCCAGTCAACGTTCGTGCTTATCTCAGCTGATAATGTCAATCGCCGCTCATCTGCTTGTCGGTCGCTCATCAGCCGCTTGAATGGCCCCAAGTAGCCGTAAGCTTGTAATCTACAACTTCTTCTACTTTTGTGTTTAGTTTTTGTTTTTGCTTTTATTTAGCGCGCACCTTTACCTGCAGCACTCATTTTTTTTGGTCCGCTTTGACTTTGGTCGTTTGTCTTCGGCATTTGCTGTCCACTGTGGCTGGCGATTTCTTGCGCTGGCTGTTCGTGATGAGCCATGCAATTTAGTGGATAAGCCAGTGGCGTAAGCAGAATTCATTGTGTTTTTTTTTTCATTAATTGCAAATTGTCTATGCATGACACATTTTTGGAGCTATTTTACTATTTTATCGCGTTTCAATTGAGTTTCTTAAATACATCACAACAACCTTTGCTTTTGCGCTTGTAATGAAAGCAGTTAAATTTTTTTTTGCATATTGTTCAGTTTTAAAAAATTGTTTTCATTAGTGGACTTTGCATCTTAATATTTTAAGTGCACTCTGAACTAGTTCGCTTATGTAATTGTGAGGCGCTGAGAGCTTGCCAATTCAATTTTTTGTTAAGTACTTCCCCCTTTGCGAATTATTTCGTTGGTTGTATACCACGTGATTGCTTTTAGTTTAAGCTTTTGGATATATCTGTGAAAATGTATTCATTGAATTGACCTTACACAAATACATAGGTAATTTAGAGCATTTCATGGTAATCATTATTTAAGACGAAGAAGGTTTCATTTGTATGAAATAGCGTTAGACTGATGAACTGCTACCTGATTTATATGTATGACAGGCGGCTTAAGCTTATAAATTATGATGCAGCAGCTTATTGTTAAGAGCTTATTTTTTTCTTGCAAATAATTCTTTGCAAAATACCTTTGTGAAAATGTACACAGAATATTTTGAATATAAGATCCTAAAGTTGCTAATGCATTTACTTATTTAAGAAGGTAACTCACACAATTCATTACTCAATAAATACATTTTTTCCGGGCAAACTAAGGTCATTTGGAAGTACTAATACTAAGCACTCGCAAGAACTCAAGCTGCCAGTGTGAGAAAATAAAAAAGTCATTTTACCAACTAAATATCAAATAAGAGGTTATCCAATAGGAGCGGTTATAAACTGAAGAGGAATTGATTGAAACCAGCTATGTGTGAGGTAACAATGAAAATCTCTTTTTATTTGAAAGGCTCACGAAAGCAATTGGGTATGGAATATAACATCATTTTAATGTCTGCAATGGCTTCTCATAGAGCCACGGATCTAAGTGGTCTAAATTTGAATCAGTCTATATAGTATACATAAGAGGTGCGTCACTAAAAATTGGAGCATCAAAAAAAATAAATGGCATATCTCAACAACTACTTCTTCGATTTGCAAAAAGTTTATCATTTACGAAAGAAAATTTAATGCCAATTGTAATAATTTTATTTCGATTACAAAAACTAGTTTTGAGGCGTTAAGTTTTTGACTTTTATCTGGAATACCTCCCACTACAGCCTTAACGGTAACCTCTTGCATTTTCTGACTTACAGAATGTCACTTACGCCGAAAATCTGTAACATTCCTAGATGTCTGTTTTATGCCCTTTTTTTACTGCAACCCAATATCTCTCGATTGGCCGAAGTTCTGGGCAATTAAGAGGGTTTGATTTTCTAGGCACAAAAACGACATCATTTTTTTCCTACCACTCAAGAGCTCCTTTACTGTAGTAACATGAGGCGAGATCAGGCCAATAGAAGGTAGACACACCATGGTGATGCAAAAATGGTTTACATTAAGTTTCTGTGATATTTGTTCCTGTTGTAACGAAACTTTTACTTCTCATGCCAGAACTGCAGATAGCCTGCCAAACGAGGAATTGTTTTAAGATACTTCGTTCTTTTTGGTATCCTAAATTTTTCCGCGACATTTCTCTAGCATCGTCAGCAAAAAACTCTTGACCAGGAAGTTGAGAAAAGTCAGAAAGTACGTACATATGTTTCATTGTCCAGCTTTTTTTGTACAGCTTTTTGGCACGTATTTTAGCCACATCGTTCTTCTTTGCATTGTGATCCGGTACTTTTTGCACTTTGTAGGTCTTCAGACCAGCTTCTATTTTAGCTCAACGCACATATGGCTCTGAGCATCCCACCACCCGAGCAATATTTCTTCCCTAGAGATTAGGTTTTATCTTCAGTATTGTCACCACTTTTTCCACTTTTTTGCGGTCACCACATCCTTTTTTCCGTCCCGTTCCTTTCTTAAGAATAACACTAGAATCTACATTAAACTTTTTTATTATCCGTGATACAGTCTTGTTTGTCCATTTTGGGTTATTTACAAAAATTTTCACAATTTCTTCACGCGATTTTTGTTCGCTGCTCATATTTAAAAAAGTAATACTCGAAAATGCATACATTAATTTCTAGTGACGCACTCCTTATAACTCCTTACATAAGTGACTGAAGTCGAGTGATTGGGCTTGTTATGTTTATTCTTCTATCCTATTTGCTAGCTATGTATTTTGGCAACCTAGTTATGATTTTTTTTTTTTTAATTTCATGTTATTTTTACCCTTTGACAGGATTAATATGTGTAAATAAAGGTCCGCTTCTATGGAGTCGAAGTTCCCAAAAATTACTGAGTGCTCTTACTGCAGGTGGAAAGAAAGATCAGAGCTTCTTATTCTGAATAAAGATATAGTTTAGACGCAAGTTTCATTCAAAGAAAACACAGAGCATATATATATTTATGTTAACAGCGGATTTTACTGCAATCTGATTCGGCAGACCACTTGCCTGAAAATTTCCAGCACGGCCCAAGCGTGCGACTGATCTTCAGCATTCATTTATGTGAACTCCAATTGCAGTCGTTATATATGTATGCATGCCAAATTCATTCTCTCGATTTTTTTCGAAAGACGTCAAATTGTAAAAAAAAAATATTAGATATTCATTCTATTTATATTATATTTATAACCACGTGATGATTCAGTTGAAAGACAACAACACCATTTTTTTGATACTTCAAAGTTGCAGAAATAGAAAATAAATTAAAAATGTTGCCAACACGGAAAAAACTCAAAGTATTGAAAAAAATAAAAGCAACAACACTAAGAGAATAACAGCCAATTAAACGGCATTATCAACAACAACAACGGCATACAAGCGACAGTGCCAGCAAATCGTCAAGCAGATTTGGCTTAACGCGTGGAACTAATTAAAATTCAAGCAAAATCAAAATGCTTAAAACAAAAAAAAAA